GGCTGTTCCCTTCCCAGTCGAGGAAGGCTCCAGAGTTGTCCTGCGAGAGGCTGGCCAGCACGGTCAGGATGCCCCGCACGCTCTGCTCCACGCTCAGCGGTGCCTGCAGGAGAGGACAAGGCACAGTGTCACTGCGTGGGCTGTGACCGGCACAGAGAGCAGCCGAGCTCAGGCAGACCGAGGGTGGGAGCCCTGGGGAGCAGGACCCAGCATGCTCATGGAGGCATTTTTCCTTATTGCTGCCTGCCCTGCTCTCTGTGCTGGGTGGGGGGACAGGGCTGGCTCTCCCCTGCACATTGCATCTTCCTGCCTGCTCCCTGCCTGCTCTGCCCTAGGAGACAGTTCTCTCAGTACCATACAACCTCCCCTGGCCCAAGTGCCCCTGCCCTCCCCAAGATTTGGGGGTCCAACATGGGTCCTGCTGACCCTCCCCTGCACAATCCAGTACCTTCTCTGTCCCCATGTCGGTCTTCACCCAGCCAGGATGGATGGCCATGCACAAGATGCCCTTGTCCTGGAGCTCTGCAGCCATGCACCTCGTCACCATGTTCTGGGCAGCCTGGAAGAGGTATCACCATAACAGCACAACTCAGGGTGTGGGTGGGCAGGAGAGGGGACATTTCCCATCCAGAAAATGGCTGTGGAGGTGGGAAATGGGACCTGGCCCTGGGGTAGAGCATCAGCACAACTCGCCTGAAAGGCTTAGTCCCAGGTGCTGCTGTCTTGGTCTCCATGCTTATGCTTGGGAGAACCAAGCAGGGGGTGGGTGGCCTGGGGCAGGTGGGTGCCCCCATGGGCTACCCTCCATGGGCACAGTGCTCAGCAGAGCATCCTCAGCACTTCCCTGAGCACCTCACCTTGCTGGCACGGTATGGGTACGTGGGGGCCTCTGACACCCCGAGGCACAGCCCAATGGAGCCCAGTTTGGTGGAGACGTTGATGATTGCAGCCCTGCTGCAGCTCAGCCCCTTCTTCCCTGTACCCTTCACTGCCTTCTCCAGGAGCGGCAGAAACTCCTGGCACAAAGACATCAACACTGGGTTAATACATGACAAGCAGGGGACCCCTCTGCAGACCCTTGGTCCTGGTCTTGCCCACCCAGCTGAGGGCACATCTTCCCAAACAAGAGAAACCCAAAAGGTCCACGCATACCTTGACAACCTGGAGCGGCCCTACCACGTTGGTGGCAAACACGGAGAGCATCTCCTGCGAGTCCAGGGAGTGCAGAGTGGCATGCGAGCTGATGCCCGCGTTGTTGATGAGCAGGTTCAAGCCCTGGTCCTGCAGATAAGACCCCACAGCCCGCACGGCCCCTCGGATGCTGGGCAAGTTCACTGTGTCTGCCAGGGCAAAAAGCAAAGTGGAGGAGAGCTCCCATACTGGAAAGTGTGATGTGACTGGAATGGCTCTTCTTAAACCAGCATCATCCAGAAAGAAAGGACCAGGATTAGCAGGTCAGGGTGTTAAGCACATCAAAATGAGAAGCAGTTTGTCTTCACTTCTTGATTTCAGAGCTTTAGGTTAATTAAACCTCAATTCAGCTCTTTTCTGGTCAACTTGAGGTGGCTGGTAAGAACTTAAAGAACTTATCTGTATTTGCTGTCTATACTCAAGGAATTTATGATTGCACAAGGGATGCTCCGTCCTTGCACACTAAGGCTCCCAGTCTTATTTTCAGTTACATTTAAGTGTAAGTTACATTTTAAGGAAACTCCATCTTTGGAGAAACAGCCCAACTATGCTCTTCAAGTCCTCCTGTATTCCCCAGCAACTATAGGGGCTGTTAACATAGAGGAGACACATTCATTTTACTGTTGAATTACATGAAGATCTTTCCTGAGTTAAACTTTATATTAACTTTATATATCACCTTTTAACACCCAAAGTACACCACCGAGCCCTTAGGAGCGTGCCTTTGCTCCCTGCGCATTTTTGCTACTCTGATGAACCTGCTGGGGAGGGGCTGGCTGTTACTTTTTTGCAACACTTTGGCCCCTGAGCTGTGTTTCTGTTCTCATGCTTAGACAAGACTGACTTAGCAAAGGTCTGCAGGGATGAAGGCTCCCTTCTTGGAGTATTTTGTACACCCCTGAGCAGCACAGCAATCCCTTTTCCTGGCATTTTTGACTTCTTGGTGTCCTTATGGAGATAAGCAAGTATTTGAGTGGCCTGGGACTTAGTATCACCTTGCCTTGTGCAGCATGGACCATCATAGAGGTGTAATGAAAATATTTGGGGGAATTTGATGAGATAATCTGCTGTGAGGCCACTGTATGTGAGGGGATGGAGCCTTGGGATTTGAGAGGACATGCATGGACATATCGCAGGGTGCTTTTTAGTGGCTTTGGCTAATGATTGAGTGAAGTTCAAGGCTCCACCACCTATGAGAGACCTTTCAGTTGCTCTGGTGAATGATTAGCTGCTCTGTTTGGATGAGCTGAGCCCTGGCTCCAAAGGGCCGGGTGTGTGGGACCAGCACCTTTCAGTCAAATGTGCTGAAGGAACAAACTCATCTCCTCGGAAGAAAGAAGAGGATAAGGATGAGAAAGAAAGAAAGAGAAAGAGGAGGAAAGGAAGTGACGGATCTTACACATTTTGGAGTTAATTTCTGACTTTCCTGGCTGAACAGTGCATTCCCATTGCTGGTTTGAAGCCAACTTTTCCTTAAGGTGGAGAAAGACAGCTTTAAGCAGCTTCACTTTATTTTTTAAAAATACTTTGTTGCCGTTCAATTTTTCATGGCTTATTTTGGGATGTGTGTGTTTTAGTAAAGGTTGTTTATTTAGTGGTCAGCATCTTGAGATGTCCCTTTTTTGTTGGCTTTGCTTTGGTGAGCAAGGTAAGTGTGCTCTTCCCATCACATACTGCCAGCTGGGGCTCACAGGTAATTTTGGAGATGCCATGTTTCATCACTGAGAGGGTGTTCTACTTTAATAATCTATTTAATAGTAAGAGATTTGCTGCTGCTTTTTAGTAAAGTCTGACTTCAGAAATGCCTTCTTTGCTACAAAATGCTAAAAATTTACTTGAACTTTTCAGGTGTTTTTAAACAAATAAGAGACTAATATGGACTTTGCGTTGCCTTGATTCGGTTTTTTTTATCATAGAATTGTTATGGTTGGAAAAGACCTTTAAGATCATCAAGTCCAAGCGTTATCTCCCTCTACCATCCCCACTTCTAAACCATGTCCCTGAGCACCGTATCTCGATGGCTTTTAAACACATCCAATGATGGCGATTGCACTGCTTCCCTGGGCAGCCTGTGCCAGGCTCTGATAACTCTTCAGTGTAGTGGTTTTACCTAATGTCTAATGCACACCTCTCTTGGAGTATCTTGATGCCATTTCCTCCTGTCCTATCAGTTGTAACTTGTCAAAAGAGACTCAAACCCACCTCTCTACAACCTCCTTTTTATTATTGGCTCTAAGGAAATACTGGGAAGTATTTGGAAGCTGTGGCTGCTTCCCACCTCACTTATTACAGTGATGGCAATTCTGATGCAAACACTTCCCCAAAACGCTTCTTTTGGGTTTGGATGGGTTTTTTTTTAAGCCAACTTTTCTTTAAAAAAAGGTGTCTGTGAGCAGCCCCTTCTCTCTCAGACAGAGCTGTCTGCCTCCTCAAGACTCCTCTGCAGGAAACAACATTCCTCAGCCTGGTGCTCCTTTTCACCCATTTTTCACCCTAACACTGTCCTCTTCAGTGAGCCCCCATCGCTGCCCAGCACCCTGGGAGCTTCCTACCTGTGAACACCCCAACTTCAGCAACACCAAAGCTGTCCTGGCTGCTCTCCCTTTTCTCCTCCAGATCTTTATGCTTTCCAGGTCCATTTGCCACCTTCTCCTGCTCCCCAGTGCTGCTGACAAATGCCACCGAATCTGGCCCACCTCCACGGGAGCAAGGCAAGGATGACAGGACATTGCCTCAGTCCAGGCTGCGGGCATCCTGAACTGGAGCACACCTCTGGGTCTGGGATACCAACACCCCCACAGGGCCAGATTTCCCATAGGCATCCTTTTAGCCTATTTCTTTTCTCCCTTTTTCACCTGGGAAATGCTGACAGTGGCCACCTCCAAGAAGCTCCCAAACCAATCCCTCCTACTTAAGAACCATCTGGTAACTTTGCTTGCTGGGCCCTGCCTTGCTTCACTTTGCAAACCTGCATGTCCCAGCCCCAAACTGGGGTGCTGTATTTAGCATCTTTGGGAGCAGAGATCATGCCTTTCCCATGAAACATGCTCAGCAGAGGTGTCCAGACCCACCTCTGCCTGCCTCCAAAGCCGGTTTGACTGCTTCCAGCCAGGAGACAGCTCTGCTTGGAGGGGGAAGCCTGCCCAAATGTACGCCCATCCCTCCCTGCCTGGCAGAGCTGGAGCTGCTTGGCTGCCAGTATTAAGTCAGGCTGCCCAAAAAATCTGCCCCCAGTCCCATCCCCAAAGCGAGTGGAGGGCTATAAGCAGTGCTAGGTGCAAGGAGGGAGATTGTTCCATACCTAGTTGGACCAGTTTGATGCTGGGGTGCTGGGCAGCTAATTCTTGCAAGGCCTGGAAACAAAGTGATGGAGCAAAAGGGAGGAGGTTAGAAGTCATCAGCGTCATGGCCAGGCCTCCCACCCCTGCTCCCAGGTCGCCCCAGCTGGAGCTGGGACAGCATGGCTTTGCTTTTGCTGGGCAAGGTGTGGGGGCAGTTCCCAGCAGACAGAGCACAGTGGCATCCCCATGGCTGGCAGGAGAAGGGGTCCCAGTGGGCTCAGGCACTGCACCCCATCCTGGGTGATCCCAGCATGGAGAAGGGGTTGGCCGGCCATCGGCATGGCCAAGAGAGAGCACCAAGGGCATGGGCACCACATCTGCCCCTCCGGCCCCATCCCATCCACCTGGATCAGGCACAGCCATAAGCATGGGGCTGGGGGGTTATGACACCCTGCTGGAGCCCTCCTGCCCCCACTGCCAGCCCACCCACTTAGGGCTGGATCCGGCAGCAAGAGGGGACCATGAATTCCCTTCTTCTACCGGGCTCGGAGCCATCCCCTGTGTCCACACTGACCTTCCCTCTCGGACCCTCAGGGTCTCGGCAGGTAGCAAAGATGTGCTGGGGGGGCCAGGGGCTGGCGGCGCCAGCCCAATGCCGCAGTTGGACCCTGTCAACAGGACACTCCGAGCCAGCGCAGCCATCTCTGTGGTCTCTGCACCAGGTGGTGACACACGGCAGGAGTGCCGCCTGCTCAGCACAAAGAGGAGCCAGGCACAGCCCAGGGTGTGGCTCTGGGCACCCACGGGAACAGGAACAGTGCCAGCATCAACCCTGGCCCCTCACCTGCCCTGGGACAGAGACAGGGTCCCAGGGTGGACCAAGGGCTCCCCTGGCATATGGGACCATGACCATGTGCCTCCTGCACTACCCAGTTCCCCACCACTCAACTCTTCTAAAGCCCCAGCTCCCAGTGTCCCTATAAGGGATGGAGAAGGACCACCTCCACAATGAACTTGGAAGAGCACTTGGAAACACCACCAGGAAAAGGAAAACAGGTCCAGATCTGGCTGTGGCCAGCCCCGTCGCAGTTTGCAGGGTGAGTTTGGGATGGCTGAACCCAGGGATGCTAATCCAAAGGCCAGTTTGGGAAGCACAGGGAGAGCATGTCTAACACTGCAAGCTTGACTTGTGCCAATGCTTTCAGACGAAGCACCCAGGAGCCAACAGAGAAGACCCTCAGGTCCCTGCAGCCCCATCCACCCACTGCTGGGGCACCAAGATCACAGCCATCACCTGTCCTTGCTGAAGGACAACGCTGCATGCTTATCAGACCAAGAAGTGCCTGCGCACCAAGATCACAGCCATCACCTGTCCTTGCTGAAGGACAACGCTGCATGCTTATCAGACCAAGAAGTGCCTGCAAAGCCAAAACTCCTGCAGCCCAGACCAGCCTTGGGGCATACATTTTTAGGAGGCAGGCTAAAAGAAACAAGGAACTGCCACGGAAGAAGCCTCAGGTGAAAAGGAAGAACTTGGGCAGCTTTAATTTAGGGTGAGGGAAAAAGTAAGAGGAACGTAGCAAAGATGGGTCTGTCACATCCAGATGTGCGCAGAGGGACACATCTGTTGCCCAGCCTCACTCAGCCTGGTGGAGGGGACAGAGCTGACTATTCCCTGAGTATTTGAGTTATTCCAGGTCTGGCAATCACCAGAGAAATACTTGAGCCAGCAGCTGGGGGACAGTGGAGAGGTTCGAAGCCTGGAAGATGTGCTTTCAGGTGGCACAGAGCATGCAGAGGAGGAAGTGGTGACGTTTCCTTCCATCTTGGTGGGTAAACTATGGGCCCCATGAGAGGTACATGTGCTG